GAGAATCTGAAAAGGAAGAAAAGAAGATACAGTGAAAATGCAGAAGAGCGAGACATGAGAAGGGTGGAAAAAAGAAAATAAATGCAAATAACACTTGCAATTTATGGTTCTTTATGGCCTGATCCAATGTATTATTCATGATAACAACAGAATAACACAGCATGAAAATTAACAAGGACAATCTAAAGGCTGAGAAGAGAGCAGAAGAGATGCTTGTTTCACACTGTAACCAGGCTGTAAATTATAACACAAGCATAAATTAAATTAACCATCAACCGTTGGCACCCAAGCACTGCATAAGGATAGATATTTATAAATATAAAAAACCCAAATCCTTCTTTACATAATGAGAAAAATAACATTACCAGGTTAAGAAAGTGACACATAAATAATAATTAGATGGCATTTTGAAAATAAAAAGAACTGCTGTATTGCACTCAAATTCATGACTCAGACATTTCATCAATTAGTAAAACTCATTTAAAGCTCTCTGGAGTGTGGCCTATATCGAAACCGCTACCAAGCTGAGAAAGTGCTGATGAATCTCCAGTTGGGACCAACAAAACCGCAAGCCAGCTTTGACAGCAACATTTAATTGGTATTGATTAACTGAACCAATCTAATTGAAGAAATGGAGGCTCAATTAATCAAACTGAACGAAATATCAGCTCCAGGAAGGGTAAGTGCCATTTGTAGTTGGCACATGTATGGGGGGAAAAGTGGGACCTACACCTTCAATTATCTGGTGAATACAGATAATTTTCAGAATAAAGATTTGGCTCACTTTTAATCTAGGAGTGTGAATTTGAATTGAATTGGCCACAATCAACACAAAGTTGAATTGAAATGATAGGAGGAAGAACTTTCTGAAATGTAATTATTAATACAGGTAGTGCATTCTGGGAAATGAAGTGTTCTTATACCCTGATGCACAAAAGTTCATTTTTATTAAATATGATGAAATATATAAAGAAAATACAAATGTGGGGTCATCTCAAATATATATAAAAAAACTTTTAAAAACCATTTTCAAAACTTTCAATAAAGGCTTTTTCAAGCAAACATTCAAAGTTTAAAAATTACAGTTATATGAATTTCAATTTATTTTAATTCTACATTCTTATATTCGAACTGGAATTCCACATTGTAATTCTAAATTCAAGAGCTGAAGTGTAATTTAAAAGGTATTTTCAATTCAACTCTGAATGGTGCTTTGAGAAGTCGGAGCATCAACACTGACTAATTCAGGTATAAGTCAAGCTACAGTAACTCTTCACAATGCTTCTAAATGTGTTAATACAGCCAAGCCACTAAAGTGAGCAATAATAGGCAAAGCAGCAGGTTATCTCTGCCTCAGACTTCACTGCCACAGACTATCTGATGCCAATTGCAAAAAAAGGGCAAGAAAACATTGAAATCTAACTAACAAGCTTCTACAGTTTCCAAGTATCGGGGTGCATAGGTTATTTTGAGTCACCAAGAAACAAACTCATGTCTGCAAGGTTGCTACAGGGTTGCATGCCAGCCTCGTACTGTGCTGATCACATTTATAAGTCAGCCAAGAAGGTCTCTTCCAGTCTAAAAAACACTACTGACCGAACGTTTGCCAACTGTCAAAGTCTAGCTCCTTAAGATGAAGCAGCATGTGTCTTTAAGGGTTTAGAAGTCATTTCTAAGTCATTCAATCATGTGACTGAGCAATAACGCTTCTTTGAAGGTTCTGGAGGTTTTCATTTGACCTTCCCTCCTCTATGGCCATAAACTGTCTAGAGATGAAGCATTTCAGACAAGTAGCTGCCAAAACAGGCTGATGTGTCCGGAATGCACCTCCCATGTAAACGGCCCCTTCCCACATAAACACACTGGAGTGTCTTAATGCTCAATAGGGCCGCTGTTGACAGTGGAAATGAATTTACATTCAAGGCACCACAGCCAACCACGTTTCCCAGGTGGCCCCCGGGGCTTCTCTCTGCTCTGTAGTGGTGACAGCGAGTAGTTCTCTCTCCTGCTCTCGACAAACTGCATAATAGACACCCTGGCGATGCAATCATCCCACAGACTGCCCTCAATTTAAAACAATATTTATCAGCACTCAGAAGGTGGCTTGCAAAATGTGGGTGGTAGTTGCAGTAGTCTCACAAACGTCTAAATATTTAGCTAAAATGGCTCCCAAAGAAAACGACCAATAAATAAAATTCATTCACTGCCTTTTTGGGAACAGAGCGTGTCAAATTTCCAAAGACTCTAGTGCTGAAGCCAATCTCTCAAATGAAACTGGACTCTGTAATCTTGTCCATACGACAGCTCCTCTATAGACATGCCCACGTACCAACATCTTATCCCATGACGCAGACATTGAAACTAACACATCCTGAAACAACTAAATGCGGGTAAAAATATTACAAGAGAGGTAGAAAATGTCCCAGAGGACACTCTCAATGTTCAATGTGAACATGGGGTTATCATCACCATACACATAGTGGGAAAATCATGTAAAGATAATGTTTAGTCCCACAGTGTGGAGGGGCCCAACACGGTGCCTTGAGGCACTCCTACACCATCTTCTAGTCAGGAGCTCTACTGACTAGCACTTAAACATCAGGAGACCATGTTTTCCTTTGTGTGGGAAGCCAGGATCTGCTGACAGCACATCTAAATGTCTGCTTGAGTAATCTGGTTTTAAAGTTACGATACAACAATTCAAGTGTCAGAGCTCTGGGCGGCACAGGCAGACTGCTGATACAACTTCTCCAACAGTTGCCGACTATGACAATCCCATAACAATGGAGCTTGTCTTTACTCCACAGGTTACCTGAGTGTTGAAAGGCGACAGGAGCGATTAGTGGAGTGCTGAGGTGATAGAGGATTCGTAACAAACAGCAGGACATATACAGGCCTCTCTGTTCTTACACCTTCTCTCTGTTACTGCTCATGAATTCAGCACTTGAAAAGACATTAGAGGGAGGCATGTGTGGGCGCATGCTGACAGACAGAGAGCTACTATAGTAAAGGAAAAGATGGTACCAAATAAAAGCAACATACTTTTGCATGTGGGGGTTCACCTAAGTGCCTATGTTCAGTGCGTGTATCAGAATTGTTTTCTCTGAAGGGCCCTGCATTAAAACACTAGAAAATCAGCAGCAGAGGCAACATGACTCATGGACCATCTAAAATGTCCAGGGAATTTGTACTTGTGTTCTCACAGCACATTGCAGACAATCATTTATACTCATTCGGGAGTTCATCTCTGAAATAGAGTTTGATGCAAATGTGAACAGAGCAATGGAAGTTCACTACAGACTGCACTGAAGAGAAAAAAGAAAAACATCTCCTAAAAGCCTCAAATAATAAGCAATGCAAATGGAAGATATTCAGTTATTATTTTGAGAGAAAGTAAAAATCATGAAACTCTCCTTTGACCCTGGCCTATGCAGGAAAAAGCAGTTACTTTGGCTTTACAGTAAAATACATGGAATATGTCATATGGGCTAAAAGAAACTGCATATTAAACCGTTCCAAACCTGTATTTCCATTCACTCATGGAAAACAAAAGGAGAAGAATGATCAAGCTGCTCTCTTCTATGCAATGCAATTTTGGAGGCTGTCAAACATCAAAAAATCAATATCAGTAGTCCATATATGTCACTATATTCCAAGTCTACTGAAGGCATATGATAGCTTTGTGTAAGGAGCAGACCAAAACTTAAGAATAATCTGGTTTGATAGCGGTGGTCACCATTAACTTTCTATACATGTTTTTTTTCATTTTTATTAAAATATTTTTAATTGCGTCTATACAGTTCTCCTATAAATTTTTATTTCAGTTTTAGTTATTTTAGTACTTCAAATTTAAATAAAAGACAATGAGAAATCACGACTTGGCACATAGCTAAAATAAAATAAGTTTAAGTTTTTTTTAATGTTTTATTTAAGTTAACATTTATTTGAAGTAACAGATTTTTAAAAAAAATTTTTTTTATAATTTTAGTCTTGGTTTTTATTTTAGTTTTAGTTAATGATAACACTGGAAAGGATGCTCTACCCTCCTTATATATTTGAGATAAGCGTTTCTTTTCAAAATCTTTCCTCAAAAAGCACACAATTAGGTACCAAATTTCTTAAGCACAAACTCTGACATCCCTTGTATTTGTCTTTCTTACCAACCGGAATTATATGTAGTCTTTTGACTCAAGTAAATTATGCTCTCAGGGGCGTGAGTCGATGAGGATTGTTTCCAGACTCTTTAAATGAACTGGATTTCTGTCTCTCCACGGAGCTCACTCGACTGTCTGTGCGAGGTGATTGGCATCTCACTCATTCCTGGTGAATAACAGCTGCCTGCTGTTTGAGCTAGTTAAGACCCCTGAGCACAGGACAGGCATGAATACTCTCTGCTCGGAAACACATTTCTACAGGTATACATTTGCTTACAAAAAGTCAAAGCAATGCCTAGAAATAGGAGACAAAATGGTCCAAAACTGATTTTAGATGACTTATTCTATGCCTATCAGTCACAGACATTAAAGCTGTCACATCAATTGTTGAAATTATATCAGGCACTGTGTGAAGCAGCAACAGTTGAAAATGAAATCAAGGAAACCAAGGAAGTACTGCAATACTGTTATTCCTTTGACAAGTATATTTTTTGTCATGCATAGTGGATTACAATTTTGAATGCTTCAAAAGAGAGTGTGAAAACAGTTCTCAGCATCCTTACAGGATTGGTTGATGGAAATGAGAAAAAACAAGGTTTTATTGACATGTAGAATAGAGAGAGACAAGGAATTTCCCCTTTTCTTACTCATCTTTTCCTTGCCTCCCTCTACTTAATGTTGTCAATAAAACCCCTGTTTTGTCTCAATGCATTGGCTGCATAACTACCAAAAAAGTTCTACACAAATATTTCAATATTATATAAATAAAAAAGATGCTTATCACAATTGGCATGTTAAAGGTGAAAGGTTGTCTTCCAGTTGTGTGGAAAATACACCCAAGGTTACCTTCAGTGGGGTTGACAGCTGCCGGCAGGCTCTCCCAATCAACTGTCCATGTAGGGCAAGGGTGAGCAGAGTAAACAGCATCTATCCCATTCTCCTGCAGGACAAAAGAACATAAACACAGGTTAAACCATAGAATACCGACAGAAGCCTCCAGGCAAGAGCTTTTTATTGAAGCTGACTACTTTTCACACTTCCTCAGATCACCTGAGACAAGGTGGTAATTAAATCAGGATCCAGTTACGGAGCAGTTCAACCCACTTTAGAAACTCCTTTAAAGGTTGAAGTCCTACAATTGATTTGACATTTTTCCTAGTTGGTACTTAATCAAAGAGATGGGAATGGGTAAAAAGTGTGCTATGTTGATTATTCCACATTGAGAATATGAGATTACAAACCAAGTACTAATAGATACAATGCAACAGACACAGAAGACAATATATGGTGCTGTGTTGGGGATTTTATAGTTAGTCACCCGTTTAGAATTAAATTAACCTGAACTACCAAACAAACTCATGTGGAACGGGGTGAAGACAGTGTTAAAACCTCTAGGAAATGTTTTTTGTTTAACAAAACATACAGACAATAAGCAATTAAAGGAATAGTTCAAGCATTCAAGTTTTCAAGTTTGTTTCTTCTTATTTTTAACACCTGGTGGTGTTTTGTCTTTGTGTGTATGACTGATCCTGTTTTATGCACACGGAACTCTGATTCATCTTGTGACTTTCTACTGTAACACCTGGTAATATTACAGTGGTTGGGACATTTTAAATTAAAAAGCAGATTTTGGCAGTTAAACTCAGCATCTTAAAATTGTATCACTTAATGAAATATATGGTTTTAAGTTAAATATACAACCGACAATCCCGTTATACCCAAAACATTGTCACATCATTTTTTATGGTGAATTTTTTAATTAAACAGGATATTTTTTATATTAAATGGTAATTATCACTTGTGAGCTGCTTTTCCTTCACTATCTATCTTGTTGGATGCTTTTCTTTCACTATCCATTATAAAACATTATTAATTCAATTGTGTACAAAACTAGCAAAAAGGTGTGTAAGGTCATAAGAATTGTACATTCATTTATACATACTTGTAAATAAAGTGAAAAAATTAGAGCCCGACCGATATATCGTTTTGCCGATACTATCGGCCGATATGAGCCTGTCGCCGATATATCGGTATCGGCGAATATGCCGCCGATATGATAATTTTTTTACAGAACATATAACGCAGATAAAATGCTTGAAATGTGTAATTACTTAGTTTGTCCAGCAGAGCGCGCTCCATTGTTTGCTATTGGCGACCTGGATGAAACGCTTTAAAGTTTAAGTCTATGGAAAACCATTAATACTTTGAACGGCCATATCTCCATAACGGCGTGGCGAATCCGCACTAAATTCGGGGGATCCCTTCAGCTCGAGGAACCCTCTCGAACGTGAATCGAGTGTACCTGTGCCACCTCTACAAATTAATTTTGTTAATACGGATTCATTTGATTGGTAACTTATATTTCTTATTCTACTTGTTCTTATTCTGTCGTTTTAATTACAATTTTTAAAAAGCTTATAAAATATTTTTTTTTTTTAAGAATTTGACAAAAGCACAAGTGCTCCTAAAAAGAAAAGTAAGCGTAGAGCCCTGAGAGGCCGCTTTCGAATGAGACCATCCCCGCGTCGATAGCTCCCGGTGTTCGGGAGTTACGGGTGGTTAAATTCGCGGTCCGGCGCCGACCGATCAAGCAATCCCGGGGGGGCTACTGACGCGCGGAGGGTGGCATTCGAGAGGGCTCCTCGAGCCGAAGGGATCCCCCGAATTTGGTGGAGATCCGCCGGCGCATTCGCGAGATAGTGACACCAGTCAACACTTTCACTTCAGTAAGGAGGTCTCTTGTTCAGGCAGCAGCCTCCATTACGTATCTTTGTCACGTCATTATAAGTGTTTGATCACCACATTTGAGTGATCATTGCAAAAAATGTGTTTATGTATATATATTCTGTTTATGTATATACTGTATTCTATATATAGTACCAGTCAAATGTTTGGGCCCTCGAATTGGAAAGTGTCCAAACTTTTGACTGGTACTGTACTATAATATACACAAAGAATATCAGCCGATATATCGATATCTGCCTTTTTTTACTCCCTAATATCGGTATCGGCCCCAAAAACCCCATATCGGTCGGGCTCTAGAAAAAAATTTACAAAAACATGTTACCATAACAATACTAAAACCCAGTCTAATAACGGACAGCTTAGTATTCCTAATACCACTGCAAAACTGAATATTGCATTATCTTTTATATAGTTTATTTAAAAAATCATTTATTTACCTTCTTGCAATGAAGGCACATTTTTCTTTCATTTGAAATTTGCAATAAAAACGTAAGAATCCTACAAATGATTGAAAATCACTTCAGACAGGATAGTTCCAGTCTTGGCTTCTGATTGGTCAACACAACATTACAGACATGCTAAAATGCACAATATAATATAATGCTGTGTGTCATGCCTAACGACACCCTTTAGCCGCACCTAAATTTACAAATCGTATTAATTCTCTCTTAAACCACCCCTTCTTGCAATGAAGGCACATTTTTCTTTCATTTGAAATTTGCAATAAAAACGTAAGAATCCTACAAATGATTGAAAATCACTCCAGACAGGATAGTTCCAGTCTTGGCTTCTGATTGGTCAACACAACATTACAGACATGCTAAAATGCACAATATAATATAATGCTGTGTGTCATGCCTAACGACACCCTTTAGCCGCACCTAAATTTACAAATCGTATTAATTCTCTCTTAAACCACCAAACGGAGCTTGTGAGATGCTCTTGGTCATTGATTTTGAATAGGTCTGGTTCTGGTTGTTAAACAGTAGCTAGTGAGGGTGCATCTCTGTTTGCTGCTCTGCCATTACAAATCCAGGCTGGCCATGAGGTTTGGCAACACAGATGAAAATGTAATTTGCTCTAAAGCAATGAGCCACCAGCAACAGCTGCAGAGCAGACCTAAAGCAGAAAGCACGCAGCCTGGAAAATCCCAGCGGACTGCTATGCATTAAGAGAGCCTGCTGAGCTCCAACACATTCACACACACCAAATTGATATCCACTAGCGTGACGGGAAATATCTGATTTATAGTTGCAGAATGCCAGAGGTGGCAAAAACCAAACACACACACACAAGAAAAGCTGGAAGAGAAGTTCTGCAGCAGGGCTGAAAACTTGACGGCAGCTGTGTGCTTTTATCACCTGCTGGGGACTCGACTATAGCATTGTGGTCCGGGGCAGACAGAAAAGAGACCCAGCATTGTTACTCTGTTTGCCTCTCCTGCGGGAGTCATACAGCAGAAGTGTACAAGACCACTGCGGACTCTTTACTCATTATCGGCAGATTTTGGCACCGATGAAGTGCTGTTGGAGTTTGTGGGCCGTTTAGATGCTGGGTAAATCAGCTGGTCTGCTATGGAAGTGGTGGGAAATTGAATAAGAAGGCAAAAGACCGCACAGGAGGTTATGGACTGAATAAGCGGTTCCACCTGGGAAAAAGAGAGCACTCATCAGGACACAGTAATGATGTCACAAGCTGAGCTTTCCATGAAATACAGCCTTATGGGTGCATTATTATCTGGAAAGGTGAGGAAACATGGGGGTCTGTGACTACAGAAAGTGATTCATCAATAAAAAAACAACAATATTACAAGTGCTGCATTACAACGTTTTAAAATTGGTGGGAAAAGCACAAACTTGTACAGAGATACAGGTTAACAACAGCACTCAAAAAGTATGTTGTACAGTGGACCCAAAACCAATTTGAACACTATATCCACACAAAAAAAAAATGGAATTAGGTGAACTGTGAGAAAATAATCTTTTCTTTCAGAGGTTTGTTATAATGCATCACTGTTAATTAAATGAAAACGTGGTGCGCAGGATTCTTGAAGGCAATGAAGATAAATGAAACTGGTACTACTGGCATTATTTTTTATAATAAAATTAATGGACCAAAATATGAAACTCCTTTAATTGTTCTCTTTTTAATCAGGGAAGACTTGAGTTTTGAGAGCCATTTATGTTCAAGGCCATAATACCAACTCGTTCTCAATGAAAACTGTTCAATAAAAACAAATCCTAATATTTAATACCTAGTTGCACTACAGTTCAAAAGTGTGGGATTGATAAGATTTTTTTAAATGTTTTGAAAGAAGTCTCTTATGTTCACCAAAGCTGCATTTATTTGATCAAAAACACAGTAAAACAGTAATACAGTGAAATATTATTTCAATTTAAAAGAATGGTTTTCTATTTGAATATATTTTAAAATGTAATTTATTCCCGTGATGCAAAGCTGAATTTTCAGCATCATTACTCTAGTCTTCAGTGTCACATGATCCTTCAGAAATCATTCTAATATTCTGATTTGAAGCTCAAGAAACATTTATTATCATCAAGGATGAGCAGCTGCAGAATTTTTACTTTTTTTTGTAACAATGTAAAATTCTTTACTGTGACTTTTGAGCAATTTAATGCAACCTTGCTGAAAAAAAAGTATTAATTTCTTTCAAAAATATAAACTTACTGACCCCAAACCTTTGAACAGTAGCGTATATATTGTACAGATACTGAACACTGTGCCTGTAAAAATCTAGAGGGAAATTAAATAACTATTCAATTCAACACATTTTTTGGTGATTGTAGTTGCCACTTACCAAGGTAGCTTTATTTTTAAATTGTGAACATAGCGATGATATTAATAATTGTGATTTACAGCCTGCAGAAGTGTGAAGAACAACAAAATTCATATTTATTTTATGCAACGTCTTATTTTTATGAAGAAAAATAAGCAAATGTGCACTGAATTCATGTTTCTCATGTTCTTTTGATCTGCTGAAGCATGAAATTAGGTTACTGTGATCAAATATCTTTTTACATAAAGCTCATGAATGCTTTCTTTTATTTACGGATTTGAATATTTCATGATAAACTTAAGCATTTCATTATATGTTAAAGTTTACCCTCCACATATTCTTTACCACAACTAATGAACGTCAGACTCACAGCTGAAAGAAATCGCAGTGCTTGTCGGAGTCAGACAGCCCCGTAATACAAGCTTCCTTAAAGTATCAAGTGGCAGGGAGTCCCATCAGTTAAGAGCGAGTCAGTACGGCTGCTGTTCTGCCTCGCTGGAGTGCATAAATCCTTTATCATCATGGTTCAGGCCCGCTGTGGCACAGAGGGCTGCCGTAAAGGGACGAGAGAACAGCACTGAACATATTGAGAGCAGATCGCTCTTTAGGGATTATGTGAGTTCGCCACTGACAGGTTTAGAGAAGCGCTTCTGTGCACGGCATGTGTAATCTCCTTCCGTGTGAGGGAAAAGTTAGGGGAAGAGGAACGAGGAGAATCAAATAAGAGAGCGGGAGAAAAAGAAAGTAAGTGAAATTCAATTACTTGCAGTTTGGTGAGAGTTGGTCGCGGTCCCCCGATGAAGGGCTCTTGCTTGAGTTTTGGCCCTTCCTGCTCTGCTCCACTGGGTTGTGGATTCTCCGGCTGGGGAGGGCAAGGGTCAGCCGTGCTGAGACTGAGGAGGGCCATCCCACAATCCTTTGCGGCCCTCAGTACGCTGGGGAGCTCCTGTACACGCTGGTACCATCTCAGCAGCAAGGGGAGATGGGAAAGGGTGGAGGGGGTGTGCTTTTGGAGCGAGATCTGGAATGGAAAGACATAATAAAATATGTTATGTAATGCAAAAAAATAATCAATGTATGGCTATGAAATTATTCTTTGCTTTAAGAAAATGACGACATTTGTGACCCTGGACCACAAAACCAGTCTTAAGTCGCTGGGGTATATTTGTAACAATAGCCAAAAATACATCGTATGGGTCAAAATTATTGATTTCTTTTTTATGCTAACATCTATCATTTATATATATATGATATATATATATATACAGCTCACATTAAAATCATACAAATTTACAGATAGACACAATGCAAAATAAATTATAAATGTGCACATGTATATTAATTAATTCTTAATTATTATTATTATCATCATTATTATGTACTTTTTGTGAGATTCATTCAAAACTGAAATCAAGAGCTAAAAAACATTGACAAGTTTAAGAGTAGGACATATTTCAGAAAACAATGTACAATCGTTATGGCAAATGGGCGAGACAGCAGAGGCTCTGTGTGTATGTTGTGCTCCTGTGGAGTTTTCTAAAAAAGTGTGAATGCTTATTAAAAAATGCGCACTGACAGCTAAATGCTCTGACTTAAGTAACCCATCAAAGTGTTGTGCCCACTGAACCGAGATCAGCTCCAGAGCTGTGACGCTCTATCATCGCTCCGCAGAGGAAAGACGAGGAGAAAGGGATGAGGAGGACAGAAGGAGGGAGACATGCTAGACGGAGTGTGAAACTAGGAGGCACCGATGCGCCGCTGACCACAGAGAGCCAAGAGTGAAAGAACGACAAGAGCAATGAACAATGCAGAGAGGAGAAAGAAAAGAACCAGAGAGAAAGAGAAATGGACGACGGAGACACATCAACTTCACCTCAAAGACACACCACAGGGTGTCTGAAGGGACAAATTCACTATGATATTCTGCTCCCTAGACATCAATTCAAAGTATGCCTGTGGTGTGGAGGTCTATGTCTAGAACATATTAAGGTATCATTCTTGTCCATAACCCTGGGTATGAGCAATAATAGCAGGGTTGTACGACAAATACAAATTTAAATAATTACAAATAGTAATAAAATTTAAAATAAGCATTATAGGAATATTAAATAGCTGTATGCTCAATCAACCATGTGTGTGGCATTAAAGGGATAGTTCACCCAAAATGAAAATTTCCCCATGATTTACTCACCCTCAAGACATACTAGGTGTATATAACTTTCTTCTTTCAGACGAATACAATCAGAGTTATATTAAAAAAATATCCTGGCTCTTCCAAGCTTTAAAATGGCAGTGAATGGGGGTCGAGATTTTGAAGCCCCAAAAAAAGTGTGTCCATCCATCACAAAAGTACTCCTCACGGCTCCAGGGAGTTAATAAAGGCCTTCTGAAGTGAATCAATGCGTTTGTGTGAGAAAAATATCCATATTTAAAACTTTATAAACCATAATCTCGAGCTTCGTACGCACGTTCACGAGAGAGTGGCGTTCCAGCGGATGACGTAGGATGTAGAATGAAAATTTCCCCATGATTTACTCACCCTCAAGACATACTAGGTGTACTGTATATAACTTTCTTCTTTCAGACGAATACAATCAGAGTTATATTAAAAAAATATCCTGGCTCTTCCAAGCTTTAAAATGGCAGTGAATGGGGGTCGAGATTTTGAAGCCCCAAAAAAAGTGTGTCCATCCATCACAAAAGTACTCCTCACGGCTCCAGGGAGTTAATAAAGGCCTTCTGAAGTGAATCAATGCGTTTGTGTGAGAAAAATATCCATATTTAAAACTTTATAAACCATAATCTCGAGCTTCGTACGCATGTTCACGAGAGAGTGGCGTTCCAGCGGATGACGTAGGATGTAGGCGTAGTGTAAGCTCCAATGAGAATATGCTAGTCTCGCGAGAACCAAGTTTTGTTTACAGCAAAGGAAAACCAGCTCAATATTTAGATTTTTTTTGCACCCTCAGATTCCAGATTTTCAAATAGTTGTATCTTGGCCAAATATTGTCCAAGTAATGTTTATGAAGTATAAATCTCAATTTCTAAAAAATGACCCTTATGTTTTGTGGTCCAGGGTCACATTTAGGACTGTTATAAAGATCAAATGTTTTGTATTGTAATATTTTTTAATGACAATGAAGTACATTCATTGCAATACAATGGGGGGAAAAAGATATTTAAATTGCAAAATATTTATGCATCATGGAATTATTTGTATGACTTTAATGCAAGCTATTTTATATATATATATATATATATATATATA